CTAATTGGCCCAACAGAAGCCCTTAGTGTTTAGAAGGTGCAACCAGGTCCACATCCAACACATGGGGTGTTGGAGGGCAACGGAGGACAAAGTGGACACCACACCCTCTTGGCATGTGCTGTCATTAAGTACACAAGCAACATTAAGTACACAAGCTATGGTAACAATGGATAGATGGTGACTACCCGAATACCAGAGAGAGAAAATGCTTCCATAATCTGAGATGGACACTTATGAGTATATTACTGTACAAAACGTTACTTTCACTTTCGGAATGTTACTATACTTACAGCATGTTACTATTAATAGAGGAAGATAGACAGCTGTGGTCCTGAAAGCCTATAATTCCAGAAATAGATAGGCAAGACAAGAGGATGCTGTCTTCAAGGCAGCCTGGGTAACATAATAAGACCCAGTCTCAAAAAATGAAATAAAGGTAAAGAAAATTGACAGAAGAGTGCTGCATACCTACTCCAAGCTGAACATCTGTCATGTGTTACACATTTACCTTAGCCCTTCAATCTGAAAGGTAAAACCTATTAACAGGTTCATTGAATATGAAAGTGAACTAATTTATGGGTTATTGCAGTCCACTTCATCTAAATATGTAGTATGTAATGTTGAAATCAGATGAAATAGAAATATTTTCTTAAGTCACATTTTCCTTAATTTGGGCAGGGTCCTGAAAATTTCATGCTTCCCAAGCAGGCAGCAACAAACTTGAGCTATAATCTGAATGCTTTCTGCTTTATTATTTTTTGTGCCAATTCTGGGCTTGAACTCAGGAACTGGGCACTGTCCCTGAGTTTCTTTTGCTCAATTCTAGAATTCTACCTCTTGAGCCACAGTGACACTTCCAGCTTTTTTTATGTGGCACAGAGAAACTGAACCTAGGGCTTCATGAATGCCAGGAAAGCATTTTACCACTGAGCCACATTCCCAGCCCTGCTTTATTTTTTTTGAAAGGGTTTTTTCAATACTAGCCTGGGACATCATCCTGTTAATGCTTCATATTTAGCTGGGAAGAAAGCAATGTACCACCATGCACAGAATTGTCTTGGTTTAAATATGGGTCTCACCACAATCATTTTGCCTGGGCTGGTCTTAAACTGAAATCCCACAGTCTCCCAGCTCAGCATCCAACTTTGATTAGGTTTAGGATGAAAACTTTCACAATTCTTCCTTTAAAGCTTTTGGAAGCTACAGAGCATTCTTGTTATCTATACTTAATCTGCATGCAGTAGAACCTCTAAGCAATTCCTTTGTGTCTCTTCTCACTCGATTTTCCAGAGACAAAATATTACTAGGTGTCTCTCCTCTGACCTGGCCTCATACAGGATTTCTAGGGCACACCTTTCTATCCATTCACACACTCCATCTCTCTTCTTCCCATGCCCACACTGACAACGTGCCTTCTATCCTGTCATCATCAGCCACACATTAGTACTCCCTCCACCCGTGCTTCATCCTGCAGCACTCCTCTCAAATAACATCTGTGTTCTCCTCAGACTTTCATTCACAAAAAGGAGGCAAGCCAGACTCTCCCATCTGCTATCCTCCCCAGCCCTGCCCCAACTTCCTCCTTCCCACACCATTCTTAAGATCTGGCCTTCTACATTCTCTGATTTGCTATTACCATAACCCTCCTAAGCTGCAGGAACAGCTCAGCCTCCCTACAACCAGGATGGCCAGGCAGGAATCCACTGTCATGAAGTGGTCTTCCTCAACCAACTCTCCCCAGCCCCAACTCACCTCTTCTCTCCAGCACAGTCCTTCATTCTATGTCTCTCCAGGCAAGTACCCTTCACTGAGCACATGCATTTCAGTCTGCCCTACAGGATGCCACACTTCCACAGGTATGTCTGGTCACCTTAAGAGCAGACTTGTCTTCAAGATTTTAATTTGTACCTAGACCATACTTGTAAAACAGTATAAGAAGTCAAAATAACATGTACTGTTTTAGCTGAAAAAACAAGCAAACCAGGTTACTGGTAAAAATGCTAGAAGTCTATCACTGCTCTACCAAATTCGCTGAAGACCCTTTGGGCTTAGAAGATGTAGTGAGGAATCCTTATTTATGTAGTTTGGGTAGTGTCACCTAAGGTCCTAAGGCCTGAAAATGAAAAAAAATAGCAAAAAATTGGAGGAGGGTCACAGAGCAAGCCCAGGAGCTACATAGAATTCACCTGGTCTTTTTACGTAAGCAGAAATGTCTGAGGGTGGCTCAGGCCATCCCAGGGGATGGGGTGAGACAGTTTCACTAGCAATACTGGATGCAGGTTTGATCTAAAAGGTTTAAACTACAAATTTATCTAATTAGTTACACATTCTCCAGTATAATAAGCACAGGCCTAAGAATCCAAGTCTACAGAGACAGGATGGGCCAAAGATGAAAGCACAGATCTAGCAAGCAGAATCTGAGGGCTGTCAGTGGTGGTAAAGTATAAGCTTAATGACTGTACAAGGCAGGACAAGATAAAACAAGTATCAGAAGTATTTAAAAATTAGTATAAGGGCTGGGAAGGTGGCTCAGTGGTAGAGTGATTGCCTTGCATGCATGAGGTCCTAGGTTAGATTCCTCAGAACCACATAAGCAAAAAGAAAAAAGCCTGAGAGTGCTAGCCTTGAACTGAAGAGCTGAGGGACAGCGCCCAGTCCCAGAGTTCAGGCCCTATGACTGTACCCAAAAAAAAAGTTTAGTATAAATATGTATGGCTTCTAAATCTGAATCGGGACCTCGGAATGCTATGGAAGTGGTATTACAAACCTGAGATCAAAGGGCTGGTTTAATTCAATGAATAAATAGACAACAGATCTTTCTCAACAGAAGAATTACAAATGGTCAAGAAAATATGAAGAAATGGTCAACATAACTCGACATACATAAAATACAAATCCAAACTACACTCAGATTCCATCACCCCACACACAAAGTGACTACAATACCTGGGTAAGTGGATCAAGCGGTAGAGGCTTAAACTCAAACCAAATTAATGTCCCTCTCAAAACACCCTCTAAAAACACCAACCTAGTATGGGACCAGGCACCAGTGGCTCATGCCTGTAATCCTAGCTGCTCAGGAGGCTGAGATCAGCAGACCAACTTCAAAGCCAGCTTAGGCAGAAAAGTCCATGAGACCTATTTCCAATTAACCACCAAAAGAAGCTGGAAACAAAAACAAACACTATGGATGTGAATGTAAATGAATGCGGGTATGACATTAATCAGTATGAAAGTTCTTCAAAAACTTACAATGGAACTTGGAAATATACCTAAAGAAATGTAACTCAGCACATAATGCAAATATACACACTTCCATGGTTACAGTAGCATGAGTCACAATACCAATTTACGGAATCAACCTAGGTGTTCATCAACTGATGACTGAATTTTAAAATGTGGTATATATACAAATTGGAGTGTCATCCAGCCACAAGGAAGAATAAAATTTTGTGTCTTCCAGGAAAAAAAAACATATACAAGTGGAAATCATTACATTAAAAGAAAGAACCAAGATAGAGAAACACAGGTATCACATACTCTCTGCAATAGCTGTAGACTGAATAATGACAAAAGTGGAAAAATGGGAGGGGGTGGAACTTGTGTCACTATTTGAAGCTGGGAGGTTCAGGTGAGTGGGGAGGGGAAAAGGAGAGGGTAAAGGAGAGGCAGATCTAATTGAAGTACTGCATAGGCGCGTGGGAAGAAGGCAATGAATCCTTTCAATTATTTTTTAAAGGAGAGAAGATGTAAGAGAAAATATAAGCAGTGAATTTGATCAAAGAACATTAGACACCCGCATGGTAATATTACAGAGAAATCCTTTGGTACAATTAAATGATTACTACTTAAAGAGAAGCATAGGAAAAGAGCATTTGAGACACACAAAGACATTATTAAGTGCTTTGGGAAGTCTTAGCTAAGAAAATAAGATAACAAATAAAGAACATTCGGGGAGAGGGGAGGGATTATGTGCTGTCCTGCGCATCCTAGATGACTGGGCGAGGAGAAACCACTATTCAGATTGTTATATGGGGATTCTAAATGGCAAGAAATGATATAATTTAATTCGATGATAGGGTTGAGGCACTGCTCCATCCCTGCATGTGACTGGAGCCTGGGGGGGGGGGCAATTTATTGTGGTCTGAAGATAGGAGGATACAATCTGGCTGACCTCGTGATTTCTGTGGTTCTTCTTCTTGGGGACAACCAGCGCAGAAACTGCTAGAGCATCTCAAGCGGGTCATGCTTGAGGGAACACTCACAAGGCCCCAGGCGCTCCCGCGGGACAGATTACTCACAATCAATGCTGGGAAAGCGGATAATGGGAATAGTGCTGTGCAGAGGTCAGCAGAGAAGCCCAGTACCCTAAAATATTTCACGTCTCATTCCCTCAAGACTGATCGAATGCAAACGGTCGCTCACCTACTACCTACTTGTTAAGAGCACGGAAAAGTTCTAGGAAAAAGTGAAGCACTTGGCCCAGTGCTGGTACTTAAAGCCCAAAGGTTAACCATTACCGTGTTGGTGTCCACAAGCCTAACTTCTCTTCCTTCACGTTGAACTGGTTCACCTGCGAAGTCTTCATCCCTTTCCAGCTGGCTCTCGGCCCTGCTCCAGGGCGCCGCACTCCCGCTCAAGGGTAGCGGCCATCCTCCTGGTCACGTTACGACGGGACGAACGGAGACCCGGGAAAGGAGAGAAAGGAGATGACCGCAGAGGCTACAAGTCCCAGTCTTTGGCACCTGGCAAATTGAGCTCAGCCAGGATGGGAGAAGCTGCCTCCGGTGGCAAAGGCACACAGCCATAGCTAGGAGGCACTGGATCGCAAAGAAGCGCACGCGGGGAGCCATCGCGCTCAGAACCCGCACCGCCTGGTCCACCACCCACCGATTCAGGACGATCCACAGACACAACGACTTTCCCACGCCGCCCCACCTACAATGCTCCCGCTCCACACGCCAAAAGCCCGCGAGGCCTACCCAGGAAGAGGAAACTGAGCACACCAAGAACAAGGCTCTCGACAGCAAATCAGGTAACAGCTCCCTCCCACCTAGGAGGAGGGGCCTATGCCACACGCAGCACGTTAGGGTTACACCCACCAGGCTTGGAAGGCCAGGCCCGATACGTGAAATGTCTCCACCCACAGGAAGCGGGACCCTGAGTCTCCACCCAGCACTTAAGAAAGCATACCGCACAACTACCCAGCAGGCCCACAGCCCATAGCTTCCGTTTACCTTGCGGGAAGGCCTGAGTCTCCAAAGAGCACACTGAGGCACAGCCCACCGAATAAACTGAGCCACAGGCCAGCCAACTAGCAGCAATTCTCCTCTTGCTAATGGGAGGCTCTAAGTCTCCCACCCTCGGGGTACAATGCGCCCAAAGACCTGCCCTCTACCTATATCGTCCCGCCCCTACAAGTAGCAAGCTCAAATGGCCAGCCCACCACCTACAACTTCCCTCCCAACAGGTCCCGAGTCGAAATTCCCTGCCCAGCAAGTTGAGTGTCCCATCCACCAAGCTCGCTCAGCCAAAGGTCAGCCCACTTCAGCCAGTGTCCCGCCCTTAGACCTAGCGCGCCAACCCCCCTTCATCTTCCCTCTATTCAAGCAGTTAAACCCTAAGTCTCCACCCATAGTCCAAGACGCACCCAGTCAGCTAGTAATTGTACCAAAGGCCAGCCCACAACGTACCATGTCCCGCCCTTACACGTACAAGCACGGAAGGCCAGCCCACCACGTACAACGTCCCTCCCGCCAAGTGGGTGGGCCTCTCAAGTCTCCACCCACCAACCTGAAAACTTCAAAGGCCAGGCCTTCTGGTGCTTTGGCAATCCCACAGGAAACAGACGCTGCAAATCCCCGCCTTACACGGAGAAAGGCAGAGCCGAACTACAAAACCCAAAAGCCAGTAGACAGAAAACAAGGAAGGTCCTTTCCGCCAGGAAGAGGCTAGAACGCCACGCCCAACAAGTAAAACCTCCCCAACCCCAAATACAACGCCCTATAAACCAGCACACTATAAAGAACGCTCCCAAGTACTGGGGAGATCGAGTTCTCCGCCCAGTACACACACTCTGCAGGTACAAAGTCGCACCCACCAACGTTCAGAGTAAGTAGACATAGCTGCGCACTGGTGGCTCATGCCTTGAGGCTGAGAACTGAGGATGTCAGTTCCAAGCCAGTCAGGGCAGGAAAGTCCTTGACACTCGTATCTCCAATTAACCACCAAAAAGCCAGTAGAGGCAGAGTGCTACCCTTGAGCAAAAAAGTTGACGGACAGCACTAAGACAATGTGTCAAGCCCCAGTGAAAAATGAGGGAGAAGGAGAGGAGCCAGAGGTGTGTGTGTGTCTGAGGGGGGGAAGGGGGGGACAGATGGACTTAATACTTCAATCACAAGTAATAATACCACCAGAACGAATATAATAAAAATACACGATATTGGGAAATTTTATGTCGGATTTAGTTTTGTTTGTGTCTGTCATGGGGCTTGAACTCAGTACTCAGGGCCTGGGTGCTGTCTCTGAGCTCTTTTGCTCAAGGCTACCTCTCTTCCATTTTTAGCCACAGCTCCAATTCACATGATCAGTTGGAGACAAGAATCTCACCAGGACTGCCCTGCCAAGGCTGATTTCCAACCATGATCCTCAGATCTTAGCCTCTTGAGTATCAAGAATTACAGGCATGAGCCACCAGAACCTGGCTTATTTGTTGTTTAGTCAGCAACCAAAAATCGCATTAAAGCAGGAGCTACCTACATAATTCCTTACAGAACAGATATTATATACTGCAAAGCCCACCCTCCCCCCAAAAAGAAAAAGCCTGAAGAAAAAATGAGTAGAACTTATAGCATGAAAATATTAACCATAGAATGTTGCATAGGGTCTGGGAATGTGGCTTAGTGGTACAGTGCTTGCCTAGCATGCATGAAGCCTTAGGTTCCATTCCTTAGTACCACATAAACAGAGCCAGAAGTGGCGCTGTGGCTCATGTGTTAGAGTGCTACCACTGAGCAAAAGGAGCTCAGGGACAGTGAGTATGCCCGAAGTTAAGCCCTAGGACTGACAAAAGAAAGAAAGAAAGAAAGAAAAGAATAGAAAAAGAAAAATATGTTATCTAGCTCTATGTAAATAAGAGATAAAAATAGAAAATATGATGAAAATTATATTCATTAGGAAACTGCATATTTTATGAGTTTGAAAAAAATCAATCAGGCATAGTGGTGCATGCCTGTAAAGGCAGTAATCTGGAGGCTGAGACAGGAAGTTAGTGAGTTTCAGGCATATCTGGGAAACAGAGTTGAGTATAAGACCAACTTGTACTACACAAGCGTTTCTGAGTGCTAGCTCAAAAAAAAATGTCCAAACTCAATATATCAAACAATTAGAAACATATGCACACGAGAAAGATACCCATGATATATCATGGAATTAGCAACACTGAGGGATGGAGAAAACATTCCACAGTAGCAGTTGAACACATCAAAATGTAACTTGTGTTACAGATGGTTTCAACAAAGAATGAACCAAAAGGATTGAACAGATATCTAGAAAACACAGGACCCACCAAAAGCAAGAGTACAGTCTCTCCCTTTGAGAGTACCCACACTGTTAGATTGTGCCTCTATCTTTCTGCTTGTCAGCTTTATGTCTACTTCTCTCCTTACTTGCTTACTTACTAAAGTCCTGTCAAGTTTTCTTACAAAAAAAGAAGCAAGAATACACCCTCTGTGCAAGTGCATTAGGAATCTTTTCCAAATAATAATACACTATACCCTAACCCATAAAACAGTTCAGCATTGAAAAAGGAAAAAGGAAATACACACTACATTACTGTCTGACCAAAATAAAAAGGAATTGCACACTAGCAGGAGAAGGGTGTTTACAAATAGGTAAAAAATAAAAATAGACTCCTAAATAACCAGAAGTCTAAGGCAACAGTGAGGAAATGGAAAGAAAACCCATTGAGGTGAATGCAAACTGAAGAACAGTACATACAACCCAATAAAATGCATAGTCAAAGAAAAAAACATGTGTGACTGGAAATTAGATCTTGTCTCATTTTGTATAATAGGAAAGCTCAAAATCATTATGTAGCTCATACTGGCCTTTGAATCTCATGATCCCCTTGCTTCAGGCTCCCAAGTGCTGTGATTACAGGTATATGCCACAATTCCTGGTTTCAAACAAATACTTTTTAAAGATCAGAAAGTTATAAAAAGTTAAAACTACCAACAGAAAAAAACTAGACAAAGAAAAGCTAAATATGAAGAAATCAGAAAGAAGGAAATGGGAGAGGTAGAGAAGGAAAAGGAAAACAATTGTTGTTACTTTCGGGAGCTGCGGCCAGGGGTGGGGGAGCGGCATATGAAAAACCTTTCCTTTGTTCTCAATGAAAAGGCAGAAAGAAAGAAAAGGAATGAAATGAACAGTGAAAGAGAAAAAGTCACTAAAGGCAGCAAAACTGGTGGGAACCCTACTATAAGACTACATGGCAAGAATAGATATAGTTAAATGAAATGAGAAAATGTGTAGAAGGCTGCCAATGAGTGCAGATGAATCAAGAAAACCCTTAAAATCAGAACGTGTATTTAAAGATTAAACATATTGAACTTAAGGCTTCCAATAGAAACAGATCAGGTCTAGAAGACAATACTGAAGAATTCTACGAAATACAAAATTGCATCATCTTCTAGGGTCATACATACATAGCTTTTGAGCTTTTCTGCTCATCTGATAGGATTATGCTAGACCTATACTAATTATAAGGGACCCATATTTCTTTGGGTCTGGCTTATTTCACTTAATACGAGTTTTTCCAAGTCTTTCCATTTCCTAACAAATTCTGATGGAAGCATAGAATTCCGTGTGTGTGTGTGTGTGTGTGTGTGTGTGTGTGTATGTGTGTGTGTTTGTGTGTGTGTGTGTGTGTGTGATCAATTCATCTACTGAGGGGCATCTGGGTTGGTTCCATAACTTAGCTATGGTGAATAATGCTGCGATAAACATAGTTGTGCTAGTAGCTTTAGAATGGTCTTGTTTGTGATCATTTGGGTAAATGCCCAGAAATGGGATTGCTGGGGCATAGGGGAGCTCTATGTGTAATCTTTTGAGCAACCTCCATACTGCTTTCCAGAGTGGTTAAACAAGTTTACACTTCCACCAACAGTGCAGAAGGGTTCCCTTTTGGCCACATCTCCTCCAGCATCTGTTGTTATTAGAGCTTTTCATTATAGCCATTCTAACTGGGGTGAGGTGGTTATGGACTCAAGAGGTTTTTCTTTGCTGTTGTTTGGAATGTACTGTGTGATTTAGTTTTGTTTCTTTTGTATGTTCTTCCCTCTATGGTATATCCCCTGTTGACACTGTATTTGATTTTGGTACCCTGCATCTTGTATATTCATTTATCTAATTTGGGGAGGGGAAGGAGAATAACAAAATGCTGAAATAAGGATACAGGATGACCCATTGCAACAATGAGACTCACAAGGCCCTATGTTGGAAATGATCTTGACTACTTTGGTGGGGGGGGGGGAGGAATGGGGGAGGTGAGGAAGGGAAGGGATAGTAGGAGAAAGACAATGCTTGATGAGAAATGTACTCATTACCTTACTCATATAACTGTAACCCCTCTGTACACCATCTTTACAATAAAAAGATTTTTTAAGATAGACAATACTTAGAAAGATAGCAAAACATACTCTAATACATCTTCAGAAATTAAAAAAAAGAGGAGAGTAGTCACTTTCCATTTCCATCTGTGAGGTCACCATTACATTTATGTCCATAGAAAATTATAGCACATGCATAGAAAGTAGCTGGTAAACCATTTTTTTCTCATTGAGAAAACATACTACCGCTGAAGCTGACATCTGAAAACTAACAACTAAAATAAACACAACAGAAACTATCACGGTCAGTTTACCATTGCATTTGAATGAATAAACAAAAGAAAACAAGCAAAAGAATGGCCAGTCATTGTTGTTTGACAATGTGGACCATGCCCTAACCACTTCCCACTAAGAAAGGGCAAGAGGTAT